GGCCTAACAAGCTGCTGTTTATTTCAAGTGGAAAACTCATTAATGGTCTGGTGAATGAGAGCTGCTTGGGTCCTGTAAGTGTATATAGCTGTGGAAGCTCTGAATAATTCAACTCTTTGTCAACTCAGTCTGATTCCAGTAGTAACTTCATGGAGTGCTGCTTCCACTTGGCTCTTGATAAGTGTTTGTATGGGCCACAGCCTGCTAGGCCAAAGCCACTTTATTTGATGTTAACTTCATTAAACAGATGTTTATTTACTCCAAACATCCAGAATGTCACTAGAGGGTGAAATAGTCACTCATTTTCCAATGCGGCAGTGAATGGGCTGAGCACGTGCAGTAAGTCAATTCTGGTCTGCCTTTAGCTATTTATGGGGTATGCTTTATAAATCATTATTCCAGTTGTGCCCAAAATGTTCTCCTCCACGTGGGAGATTCTCATGTTCTGTTTATAGAAGACTAACTGTAATTCGCAACCAGAAATGATAATCACTTGACACGTGAGATCACTAGGAAGCAGGTTGGGGAGGAAAGAGTACATTTCAACTTTGAGCTCCCAGGTCATCATACTCCCTCACTGAGGGGAATCTGGTCAGGAATTCAAAGCAGGAATCCTGAGTCAGTAACTGAAGCCAGAGCTATGAAGTAATTAATACTGCGTACTGGCTTATTCCTCATGGATTGCCCAGGCTGCTCTCCTATAGCCTCCAGGACCACTTGCTCGGGGTAGCACCACCCACACTGAGCTAGATTTTTCCTCATCAATCATCAATGAAGGAAAAGCCCTACAGATTTGCCTACAATCAAGTCACATGCAGGCCTTTCCTCAACTGAAAGTCCTTTTTCCAAAACCACTCTAGTTCATGTCAAGTTGGCATAAAAGAAACCAATATAAAATATGATGGTTTTCAGACACTGATTTTCTGAAACAGTGTTTTATTATCTTACCGTAACATTATTAATGTAATTCAGAGGCTTGGTTTCCTACTTAATAAAGAATTTGGCCTATAGCTTAGCCAATTTTTCTCTTAGTGGTTTCTTACCAGTTCCTTGCTGATTCTAGCAATGTGGATGTGTGCTCAATTGTAACAGGCTGATTGAATAACATCTCACGAAAGGCATGAAACCAGAAAGTTTGATTGGCTACATCAATACAATTTTCAGGGTGAATTGAGAATGGTGGTTAGGTGAACGAATTGACTTATGTAATCAAGCTTCTAGACACCAACTGAGGCTCTTCTGCCTCCCATACACCATGTCTACTTTATTGTACTCAAGCCTTGGATTATAGAGTTTGACAAATTTAATTCACTGCATGACCTTTCTCAATGACTGCCTGCTTTGCTTGCTGTACCACAGGGTAGATAAATTTCCGATACTGACTTCTCTTCCACTAGGTTTCCCTATGCAGTTCTGATTTCCAATGAGATTCTTTGTGCTACAGTCAATCTTATTTTGTATTTTCTATGAAGTGAACATTGCACTTGCCTCATAGTATTCGCAACGAGCAATATCTCATGTTCATTGATACCATATATTTGTTAATCTTTCAAGTAGTATGCAATGTAATAGCATATAAATTGCCCCTTTCTCTTCTTTATCTTTTTAGTATCTCCATTACTTTCTCCTACTTCCTAGTTAGCATAAATTGCTTCGCTCATCTTTTCTTTTCCAAAGGCAGAAGATGGATTCCAGCTTAGTGTGGGATACATATGAAGGCTAGCAGTGAAAGTGCACTTTCTTAGTATGTCTTCAATTAAAATGGCAATGATAACTTTACAGAATTTCTTCAGAGAAAAAAATTGTGCACAAATATACTGTAAGGATTATAGTAAAACTATTGATTGATGGACATTTTGTATTTTATAACTTCATACTTTTTAGCTTTGCTCTGTAGACTTAAATAAGGATGATGGGTTGGTTTTGTTTGTTCGGTTGGTTTTTGTTTGTTTTTCTTAGATATATGAGGATTCCAAAGAAGAAAGAGAGACAGTTAATTGTCAATTGCAAATTGTCTATGATATGTAGGAATTATAAATTACTAAATATTTGAACAATACTAATTTCAGGCCATTCCAATGAACCTTTCTTGGAGTATTAATGTGTCATATGTCTAGTGAATATTTAGTTTTAATTTAGTAAGACATATAAAATTTCTGCAGAGGTAAAGTAGGATATTTTTATTAATGTATTTATTTATTCACTTTATATTTCAATATCAGCCTCATCTTGTTGCAGTCCCCTCTCACAGAGCTATCCCCCAATCCTCCCTTTCCTTCTCCTCTGAGAACGGGGAGCCCCTCATATCACTCTACCCTGGCACATCAAATCACTTCAGGACTAGGCACATCCTCTCCCACTGAGGCAAGATAAGGTGGCCAAATTAGAGTAACAGGAACCACAGGCAAGCAACAGAGTCAGGGACAGTATTCACTCTAATTGTAAGGAGACTTGAAGGCCAAGCTGCACTTGTGCTACATATGTGCCTGGGTCTATCCCATGCCTGCCCTTTGGTGATTCAATCTCTGGAAGCCCTCAAATGTTAGGTGACTCTATTAGTCTTCCTGCAGGGTCCCTATCTTTTTCAGGTCCCTCAATCCTCTCCCCAATACTTCTACAAGACTCTCTAGCTCTATCTAATGTTAGGCTATGGGTCTCTGCATCTCATTGCTTAGGCTGTTGGGTGGAGTCTCTCAGAGGACAGTTCTGCTAGACTCCTAGCTGCAAGCATAACAGTATCATTAATAGTATCAGGGTTGACTCTTGCCCATGAGCTGGGTCTTAGTTTGTACCAGTCATTGGCTGGCCATATCCTCTGTCTCAAGCAAGATATTTTTTAAATGGTATAAATGACAGCAAAACACAACAAAGTTGCCATGAGTGCCATAATATAAGTATAGCATTTAACAGAAAAAATAAACTTATAATATACTATCTTAGCATAATGTTTATTTTAGTGTTTTAGAATACTATAGTTTGTAAGATCAACTAAAATGATGCACAGTCAAAATTCATTTTTTATTAGACTATAATGGTTTACAACATTTATATTTCCTAAAAATACAGCAGTTGCCTTATGGGGATGTTTTTAGGGTAACTGGTAAACTGCTGTTCACTCACTGTGATAATCAAATGAAAACAAAGTTTAATGTTTGCCCCAATGTATCTGATGGATTTTCTCTAATGTTTAACTTATTATGCATGTTACCTAATTATTATAATAGTTTCAATTCTAAGTAGACTTAATCACAAAGATGACAATTGTAAAGGGGACAGCCTGATATTTACACAAGAATAAAGAGGAAGAACAGTGAAACAGACTAGAGAACCTGGACGTAAAGCTCAAATCTAGACACAGTTAATTTTTGATAGAAAAGACAAAAACAGACAAGAGGATGATATTCAGAATTTACAAAGAATAGCAGAAAGTAAATAAAATTAAAACAAAGCTCTGGGTCAAAAAATGAACAAATAAACTGAATGGATTTTCTTTTTAAAGTAACACAAATGACCAGTAACTGTTTTTGAGGAGAGCAATATTCCCACCCATCAGGGAAGAACAAATTAAAACTATTGTAAGATGCCTTACTCTACCCAGAATGGCTACTATTTACAAATCAGAAAACAAGTTTTGGCAAGGATGTGAAGAGAAAGGGACCATTATTCACTGTTGGTGGGGTACAGATTAGTACAGCTGTTATGAGAGTCAGTTTGGAGAATTCCCAAAATTAAGAAGAAATACAAATACCATATGACACAGATGTTTCATTCCTGGGAATATAGTATTTATTGATGGTTTATTCACTGTAGCCAAGAATTGGGATCGACTGAGTTGTTCATCAAAGTAAGAAAAGATAATAATACTTTGGTGTATGTATATTACATATCCATATGAATAGTACTCAGCTGTAAATGAAGACTTGCAAGGAAATGGAGAGACTTAGAACGTGTCATACTAAGCTCTATCACAGAATCTATAAAAGAAAATAACACATGCACTGGGATGTGCTGAATCTAGACAATATCACATGTACGTGTAAACAAATATATATGTGTGTGAAATATAACATGATGGAAATGGGAAAATATGAGGGGATTCAGAAGGACCAAATGCAGGCAATGGACATGAGTCATAAAGAACAATGTAAAGCTAATGCTCATTTTCATTCTAATTCTGCCATAGAATCTTTGTCTGTTTTGATGGTGGATAAGTGTATAAAACAGCTTCAATGCTGAAAACGTAAGATTTAACGTGAAGCTTCACAGCTCCCATTCTGAGGGCCTATTCTAATTGTATCCAAGTTTATTCAGGTCTATAGACCTTGCATTTGGTTATTTCTGAACTGTAAGTTTTCAGATTTATTTGCAAGATTATTTTCCAAGTTTATAAAATTAAAAACAGTTATAGTAGTTGAGTATGTTGTAATACCCTGCTTAGTAATTTCATATTATATGAGGCAGCTTTCCATATTTTACCAAAATACTTGAAGCAATGAATTTATAAAGAGAAAAATGTTATCTTGGCCTATAATTACTGAAGTATGAATCTATGGCTGTATTATTTGACTTGTGACAGAGAACTTCATGGTAGGAGATCAAGACTTAAGGGAATACTCTTTGCTCCATGAGCAGGAAGAACATATGTGAGGCTGAAAGAATTAGCATGTTCCTAATGATCTAAAGGCCTCCCAATGAACTATTGCTTCTGGAATCTGCACAACTTCACAATTTGGTCTGTCTGGGATCAAAGGCTGTAGCAAACAGTCTTTGTAGGCTACCTGATCTCTGGATAGCATAGCATTTACACTGACACCTTGTGTTTATCTTGATGCTTTTACAAGAGGCCAACACCATGTGACTTTCACAAGCCTTTCAGTGATGTGCTCCTTGTATTTATTCCGATGTTTAGCATGAACAAATTTTATTGATAGTTGATTTGTCTGCTGGAAAATTTTTTGAATGATTTGTTGCTTGAAAAATGTTTCCTTCTTTTTAAATAGGCCTTCAATGAGTTTGAGGTTGAACAACATCAAGAATGTGCATATGATCACTTGGAAATTTTTGATGGAGAAACAGAGAAGTCACCAATCCTTGGCCGACTCTGTGGCAGCAAAATACCAGATCCCCTCATGGCTACTGGGAATGAAATGTTTATTCGGTTTATTTCTGATGCCTCTGTTCAAAGAAAAGGCTTTCAAGCTACTCATTCCACAGGTCAGCAAATTATCTTTGTGTGTTTCTTCTAAGAAAATACTTTTTAAAAATTAATCTTTAAATTTCATATAAACTGAAGATTTCATGATTATATATACATATGTATTTATACATACACTTGTACACATGCACATACACATGCACACACATGCACACATGCACATACACACACACACACACACACACACACACACACAGAGGCCACTATACTTTCCCCTCACTTTTATAACTCTTTGTGTTGGGTATGTAGATGTGCCTTATTAATAGAATTACCTCAAGCTACATTTCTATTGCTGCGATGAAATGTCTTGACATAAAGCAACTTTGAGATGAAAAAACATTGGCTCACAAGACCAGGATGCAGTCCATCATTATTGGGAAGTCAAGGCAGGGACTTGAAGCAGCTAGTTACATTCCTACTCAAGAACAGAGAAAAGAAATACATGCCTTACACTCAGATTCAAGTGCAGCCTCCTTTATATAGCTAGGCATGCCAAGATCCCTTATCAAGAATGTAGGGCAAATACAGTGAGCTGTATTTCCCTATACCAATTATTGTAAATTAAGTATGCCCCACAGACAGACCCAGGGTCGACATGATCTAGACAGCCCCCCATTGAGACTGTCTTTCAGGTGATTCTACATTGTGTCAGGCTGCCAATTAAAAGTAAATATCTCAGCTCATAAAACTCTCATTGAAATGTGTTATATGGAATATTTGGAAACTATTCTGGCTACTTTGATACTTTTGCAGAAGTAGAAGATTCATGGAAGAAATATAAAGTAACAAATACTACTACTACTACTGATAATAATAATAGTAATAATAATATTTCAGTTTTATTTGCTATCAGTGTAACCTGGGGATGTAGAAATATTTCTAAATATTTGTATAATTAATCTTATAACTAACATTACTAGTTTCACTGACATGTTACATTTTATAGATAGGAAGCTATACTTTGTTATTAAAAACCTTTATTTCATCTAGTAAGCTGCTTCTTTTAAAAGCTAACTATTGCCTTAATACATATTTTGTAAATGGTTTGGGGATTTCTTTGTTCAACAGACTGTCATTTTCTCCTAACTTATATTTGGTATGTAATATGATCTTTCCCCTAATCCTGTTATTTTTGCTATTTAGGGAAAAGTTTACTTAATAAAAGTATAAATATGTATAAATATGTAAAGGTGAAATAAGTAAGATAAAAATATTTATAGCATTGGGCCAATTTAAATACATGGTCCGTAAAATATGCTAAGGAATATTCCCTTTTCCTTTCAGATTTCAGGGGAAAAATGGTAATCATAGATATTTGTAAAAGTCGTTGAGCTTATATTGACACCTGGTGGCCATACTGAAGTATTACATAGGGCGATGTAAGAATAATTCATATACATGTGTGAAATAATTTAATGCAATATTTGTCATGTTTTCTTGGTAATTGTTTGGTTTTCTTTAATTTTTATTTAACAGTCTATATGTGTTAAGTATCTTATTGAACAATATTTTCTTTCAGTGTTTTTATTTTACTGCAGAATTGATTTAAAATTAACTCTGAGAAAATGGGAATTGTTAAAATTGTGGTATGCTATGTACTATTAATTATTAGACTCTTAACAATAATAGTAGTTGATTATTTCTTGTAACAGTTATAATTGTTGTGGTTTTAGAAAAAATCAAACTATAGCCATTTCCTGTTAATTTTCTAGACAATTGGTATTGTAGATTCATTTCTGTTAATTTGCCAAGTATTCAAGCTGTAGAAAAATTGGTGTCCCATTATGCCTTCTTAATTGTCCTGATGGTGCAAAGTTGGTGGCTCTTAAATACATACACACACACATACACACACAAACACACACACATGCACACGTACATGCACACACACGTACATACACACACATAACACATACACACATGCACACATAAAACCACATAGACACATATGCACACACACAGGCACATGCACACATATACATGTACACATGCACACATGAACACACACCTATTCACACACAAGTACCGGCACACACATGCTTAAACACATGCACATGCTCACATATGCACACACACATGCACACACACATATATACACACATGCACACACACATACTCGTGTACACACATACACACAGGCACACACATACACACACATGCATACATACACATGAACACACATTCACATATACACATGCCACACATGCACACACACAAACACACACATGCACATACCCATTATACACATGCACACACACATACACGCATACACATGGATGCTCCCCTCTATCCCAACATATGGTCTTGAGGTTATCGAGAGCTGTAAAACCAATGACACCCTCGAGTATTTGGTGACTTCAACTTGTATACTCTATTTACTTGTTGTTTATTATGAAAGCAATTGACATCAATTCTATCAAACTGAGATCAGCTGTATCATCTTGTGCAGATGAAGAAACTGAATTTGTAGATAATTAATTTGCAAATGTTTGCAAGTCAGTATCTAATCATGGATTTACTCCAATTTTGACCACCCCCAAACCTAATGTATCCCTCTATAGGGTATTTTATCCATTTAAAACTATAGAATTAGGACAGAAAGGAATACTTACGTCATCACTCCTTAAAACAATAGATTAAGACCAAACTTGGTGTTTAAATTACATAAATGGAATGGAAGGCCTTTTTTAGTTTGTATCTATTCAAATATCACAGTAACTAACCTCAGTCAAATGTTAAAGCAAACATAGGACTTGGGTATTATTCATTTGGTTCTGTCACTTTAAATCTGAGAAATCTGGAGCTGTAACTTAAATGTCAACCAAAGTACCACAAATATCAATGACAATTGCCATTAGACTCTGGGCTTCCCCACTGTACTCATTTAGTCTGATCGATGTCTCCTATGGTGTGTATGTTTGCCTTTCCTGTAAGTTACGAACTTTAGCATTCAGATGAATGATCTTGAAACTTTCTGGGTGGATTTTCTTTTCTGTGCTGTTGCAAAATAGCACCTTACATAAATTATTTTGTATTTCACCTGCTGGATATATCTCCTTAAACAACATTCCTTCTATTAAGTTCAGTTGTCCTATAACTTCCCATCAAAATTTTGTTTTGGCATTTGCTCAGACAGTGTGATGGGTTAGTATTCCTTTGGGAAAAACAATTCAGAGATTTATTGGAAGAGTGTACTGGAAACTCCCATAAGCTAAAAGCTCACAGTGTAAGTTAAACTAAAGTCCAAGCTGGGACCACATCTGCTAATTTCATCATGTGTAAAGCACTTTTATATTACTTACCTTTTTCTAGAACAAATGCATTAGGTTTGTGACCTCAACTATATATTTTAATTTAACTAAGTAAATTTATTTTTCTATATACAATGTTAATTTGGCTCCAAAAGAATTTATAACATCCAATTGCAATGTTGTTGTTATGAAGTTTGTTTGTTTTATTTATTTACAAAATGATGCTATCCATACAGTAGATATGGACACTGTTAGGAAGAGAACTTTGTTTCTCTCTGACAGTTGGTTTAAATTCAAGTTCAATTTAATTTAATCCCTTAGTCAAAAGAAACAAAATGTGCAAAAAACATGTGTATTCTATCAGATATTATGATTTCAAAGAAGAAGAAGAAGGAGGAGGAGGAGGAGAAAGAGGAGGAAGAAGAGGAGGAGAAAGGGGAGAGAAATGTATTTCAACAGTGTTTTTTGACTTTCTGCATGATTTTCTCAAGTATTAAACATTTTATGGTTTGTCAGTGGCATTTGATACTCCAATAATATGTTATCATGCCCTTTTCAGAGAAAATTGTTCACATGGAGGTTAACTGAATTAGAATGGACTAGTAAAAGCACTTATAGACTTCTGGGATGTTTTTTGGAATCTTATACTACCAGGAAACAAACAAATATGTCTTTGCAAATTAAAATGAAATCTGCTACATAGTTTTTCTTCCTGAGTTCATTTTCAATTTCTCAGACGTGTTGATGATGCTTTGGGACCTTGTAAAGCAGTATTAAACTATTGATATAAAAGTACTACTGTTAACATGTTCAAGACTGGTTTTATTTATGTATTTTGGCTTGATAATGCAGACAATTTTGACAATATCTTAACTATATAAAATATCTTTTCTCAGAAAGTCTCTAATATTATGTTGGTTTAAGTTTGAAGAACCAGGAGAAATAAAAAAAGCAGTGAGTTGCCTAATAATGTGTATCACTTTATGATGGGTTTCTCTCAGAGCATCCATGATTCACACCACTTGCAAACATATTATCCAAATAATTATCTTAAAACTATCACCTGGTGGACTACATTTCCACTTTGGGCTTTAATGAGGAGAACATTATTTTTACATTTATTAGTATGAACAGAGCTGTATGGGCATTGAGGAATGAGTAGACCTAGTAACATGAGTCAATTTTAGTAATATTTTACACTGTTCTCAAACCTTACGCTGTATGACATTTAATAGAAATATGAGTTGACAACTTTGTTATGCTTATATTCATAAGCCTTTAAGTGTCTCTCCACTTTTTGTTCTATTTCACTCCTACCTTAACTCTCCTTCTAAGATGGGGATGACAGAGAACTTCTGCAGAAAGGCGTTCCAAAGCAGCACACCCCATGTCTCATGCCACCCCCTCAACCCAGTTCTTCCTGACCCATGGAGAAATCATAGTTAAAGTGAAAGATCACGATGGATTACAATCAGAATAATCCATAGTTATGGGTTATTACAATCTATCAGTTATATCAAACCTTGAGAATCAGCAGTTATTAAATTCAGGAACTTTAAGTCACTGATTCACATAATCCTATCCTGAAATCAGATTGACTTCTAAGATTCTTTTCTTTTTAATTCCATGTGTATAACTGTTTTGCCTGAATGTATATATGTGTGCCACGTCCACACCTGGTGCTTGTGCAAGACAGAAGAGGGCATCAGATATTCTAGAACCGGAGTTACAGAAGGTCATGAGCCATATTGTGTGTGCTGAGAATTTAATCCAGGTCTTCTGGAAGAGCAGCCAGTGCTCTCAACTGCTGAGTCCCAAATCAGATGTGTTGTTCACATGCTGTTTTACTTGTCTTAAAGATACAACATTTCCTTTCTGATATGTCTAAATGTCTAAAGCTATTGTTCTTTTTCTCTGTAGCTTTCAATAGTGCACCTGAATATTTTCATGTACTTTCATAGCCTGAATAACCTGTTTAAGATAACTTTTCGCTGTGAGTCATAACCATTAAATTTCATGTATGGTTTGATCATCCATTTTTCATATAGACCATCTAACATGAGCATTGTGTGTGATCTCTATTTTGAAATGAAATTGGAGAATCTGGACTGTAGCTCAGTAGTAGGCCTTGCATGTAGTGCCCTTTGTTCAATCCTAAATTTAGACCTATATAATCTGACCTTGAAGGTCTGTGACATGCAGAAGAGACTATTTCCTGGGAGTTGTATAAGAGTTACTCTGGCGAAGAAGGGTGTTTTGCTTCCTATATATGATCCTGGATGAATACAATGTCAAATTGGATGGAAATTCCAGCCTTTAGGGATAGTTTCATGAATGTGTTATCCAATGGTTAAACATCTGTAATAGTGTCATCTATGTCAGAACATTGAGCAAAAGCCTTAGCTAACTGTCTGAAAAGATGTTCTTGGGGATAGAAATATGAAGCTCTGAATGAATAGCTGCACTGACACAACACCAAAGGGTTGATGCATTTAGATATAGGATCCGTACATCAGATACAGAAATCTTAATCTAAAATCATTACCAACCAGGTTCCTGTGGAGATGGCTAAGTCAGTAAATTGCTTGCCTCCCAAGCATGAAGGCCTGAGTTCAGATCTCCAGTATGAAGGCTAAATAGAAGGCATTGTGCTGCAAAGTTCTCTAATTGAGTACTGGGGAGGCAGAGAGCACATCAGGTTTGCTGACCACATAGATATTCTGGCCAAATCAGCCAAATTGATAAGATCTAGGTTCAGTGGAAGGCACCATTTAAAAAAATAAATAAGACAGAGAATGGTTGAGAAAAACATCTAGTATGTACCTCTGACTCCTACAGTATATTCACACATGCATCTGCACACATATACAAACAAGTTCAATAAAATAACAACTCCCTTTCCAAGCACAGTGCAGTTTAGCCAATACAAGTCTGAAAAAAACCTCATAAATGTTTCTGCTGCCCACATCCTCACTATGGGTTATCTTATGACCAATGGTGACATTGTTATGAATGTATTTTCATACACAGTGGTTTAGCATCCCATGTCTGAGAATGCTGTATTTTCTGGGGGAATCTCCTGATCTTAGCTTTGAAATTCCTAGTTCTGGTGATTGACACAGATGCTTGGAAACTTCCCAGGGGTTGGTAGGCACCCTACTTTCCCCCAACTTTTTCACATTTCATTCTTTATCTCTGTGCTTACTATTAGATTTGTTCTTAGGCTATTTTAGCCTTCTGATGCTTCTATTTGATCTATTCCATAGTAAATAGAAACCTCTGATCGCAGTGAACTACTAAAAAGTTTGGGGAACAGTTCTTTCTTTGAATTAGACAAGCTAAGAAATTTTATTTTCATAGCTTCAATTCTTAGATGTATTTTCTGTAGGTGATGATGCCAGTGCACAGAAGAGATTTGTATTTCTCAAAAAACTGAAGCTAAAATTTTATTATAGCAAATACATCAATTATACCTGAACTGATTCTATGATGAATTATATATTCTTTTGCTGATTGTGTGAGATAGTATTACTACTCAAATACTATTATTATACATGTATATTAATGTTGTATATATTATATAAAATTCTATATATTCATAAGCTTTATATGCTTTGATATATTTTCAGGTTATTTTTATTTGTTTGATTACTGAATTCTAAGTTTTCATTATGTAAATAATGATTTGAAAGTAAAAACATGAATAGATGTATCTTCCATAATTCTATTGTTTGTGACAAGTACTTTTCAAGGTGACTTTTATGTATTATATTTTGAAAAGTCACAAAGATTGGTGCCATTAGCATATATACTTTGTCTTTGGAAAAATGAGGATCAGAGGCATGATCTTGATTGCTCATAGTCTTATAGTTAGTTGGATTTTTAAGCCAGTTTCTTAAGCCAGACAGGCTGTATGTGTTATTTCTGTCTATACACATGATACTGTCTGATTTTTAAGTCACAAACACATACCTAATCCTAGATGTAGAAACAGGCATTAGAGGTTAGATGGACTCCACTGAAATAGAGGCTGAACAGTGGAAACTCACCAGATTATATATTTCTTTCCTTGGGCAGAATGTGGTGGTCGATTGAAAGCAGAGCCAAAGCCTAAAGACCTGTACTCTCATGCTCAGTTTGGAGATAATAACTACCCAGGACAACTGGACTGTGAATGGTTGTTGGTGTCAGAACGAGGCTCTCGACTTGAATTGTCCTTCCAGACTTTTGAAGTAGAAGAAGAAGCCGACTGTGGCTATGACTATGTTGAAGTCTTTGATGGTCTCAACTCAAAAGCTATGGGTCTTGGTAGATTCTGTGGATCAGGGGTAAGTATGCCACCAACAGGTTCCCATAGTCAGTTAATGAGATGCCTGTTAATCAGTGGTTGGTGTATATAATATTTATAAACTGGAAATATTTTTGAAACAATAGCATACTTTATTACTAACAATGGCTCAACAAAATAAATGTGACTCTCATATCTTCCTATTTCTCCACTTCTAATGAGTTTACATTATAATTCATGTGAACATATGGACTTAATTGTTCCAGTTTTTTTCACTTTCCATATTCTATGTTTTCATTATGCAGTGAATATTTAAATGATTAATAATTCAAAACCAATACACACACCACACAAACACACACATACACAGATACACACACACACACACACACACACACACACACACACGGCCTTGACATTGTTGGTTCTTTTAAAATTAAAGCATAAGAGAAAAGAAAAAGATCCATATCTCACCAGTTTACATTCCATTCTTTGATGGCTCAGAGGTTAAGAACACTGTGTGTTTTTCCAGAGGTCCTGAGTTCAGTACTCAGCAACCACATGGTGGCTCACAATTATCTGTGATGGGATATGATAACCTCTTCTGGCATGCATGTAGGGCACTCATATACGCTAGGTAGGTAGGTAGACAGACAGACAGACAGACAGACAGATTGATAGACAGATTTTTCAGATCATTTGAGGCCTAGCAATGCAGAATGCTCCACCATTGTTCTACATGCAGAGGTACAGTACAGAGATAAGTAGGGGAGAGGCCACATGAGAAGCTAGATTGAGAAACACTCTGGTTTTCTCCATTTCTGCCAGGACTCACTGCATTCAAATTTAGAATATTCTCATGTGTAGTTTGCTTAAAATGACAATAGACTCGACTTTCTGAGTGTCAAATCTTATCTATGCATTTAATAATAATAAATCACCAAACTTCTACCAAAATAACACTTCGTAGAATATCTTTAGACTATTAAAAGGGAGAAAAGTAAGATTTAGATTTCACAAGTGGGTCATTTCACAATAACCACTGGATATCTCTTTACTGGTTTTAAATCTCCTTTATTTGCATGTAAATGAAAAAAAGATGGATTAAAGTTTTGAAAAAAAACAAATCTTACTGAAAATTCTGGAATTTAGGTGTGTACTAGCATGTCTTCAAAATATGAGATCTTAGGTATGCCAGTTCCTCCAAGAATCTCATGTTTTCTCATCCTTGTGGGAATAAATCCAACAGGAACACTTTGCTATGTTGCTGGGTGGGTTGAGTGGTTAGAGCATGCACACGATGTGACACAGTGGCCCATTCTCCACTCATTCCAGTTCAACTTTATTTGCTTTTTCTTTCAGCCACCAGAAGAGATCTATTCAATTGGAGATGTGGCTTTAATTCATTTTCACACAGATGACACTATCAACAAGAAAGGATTTTATATAAGATATAAAAGTATAAGATACCCGGAAACCATGCATGCTGAGAACTAATGCTGACCTCCCTCAGAACAGAAAGGAATGTGCATATGGAAAGAAGACATTTTTAAAATTGACAATATTAGTACAATTGTTTTATATAATGAATTTGAGCAAAAGAAACCTGCAAGATTAGAGTTATCTCTGAAATGAAAGAGAACTTTCCAGAAAGCCTGATTGACATTGCAAGGATGTTTGAAAGTCATGCTTGTTCAAGGAAGACTAACAGCTTGAAATAGATGCTTCACACTTTGGACAGTTCATTTCATGGACTGTGATTCTCTGGAACGATTTCTTGACTACTTTTTCGAGATCTGAGGACATAAAAATGATCAGATAGATCATAGCTTGGAAACCCACTTCTTGGGTCTTAGCATGTCTTCTTAGACTTCGTAGGTCAGACACAATGTAAACCAAATCCATGTAAGAATAGTGGAATAGTGGTCTTTGGAAGGTGGTTTGTCATTTAAATGTAGGTGTGTATTTGTGTGTGTTTACTCATGCAAGTGTGTGCGTGTGTGCTGTGTGCATATGTGCGTGCATGCGAGTATGTGTGTATGTGTTTGGAAACTGGAATATTTCATCTTCATTATTTTCAAATGCAGGCCAGCCTAACCTGTTCACACAAATGATTTTGTGACCACTTCATTGTATCTATATCTTGAGAAGTTCAAAATATCTATAGTGTCTACAATGCATTTAATCCCTAGATATCATATTTAATTACTGGATAATACCCAGTTCACTAGTAGACTAATTTCTCTCTGGAGAAGTGCTGAATAGTCACACCAAATCCAAGAAACTCACCATGTCTTATAAACCTTTAAGATAAAATTTCAACAAGGTGTGTGCAGCCATCTTCCAAATGACTGCCTGGATGTTTTTTATTCCAGTTACTACTGCTGCTGCTATGGTCTTTCTTTTATTGTTAATGTGTTGATATGTTATTATTATGGTTATTGTTATTGATGTTGTTACTATATTTAAAAATTATGAGATGAAGTGGAAGTAGAGTTTGGGAGAAATGAAATCTCTCTCTTTTTTGTTCTCTTCTTGAAATTCAGTTTCAAAAATACAATATTTTGTGGCAAATGATTTGTTTCTGACATATTTCCTATGGTGCTATTCCATAAACATTAAGACAGCAGCAACAACAAGTTTCTGACCTTTGAGCCAAATGCCTGTGTGCTGTGAATGTCTCCTTATATGTGGCTGGCAAAGGAGACTCAAGACGTTTTAGATATTTCAAGGGTGTGTCACGGCAAGGACAAAGCTTGTCCCATGGAACAACTACTTCCAATGCCTTAGAATTCCTGCACATAAACAAATCTGCTTAAAGACATGCCTCTTGAGATGTTGACCATCGTAGCATATGGTAATCAGGAACTTCAAGAAGAAAATCCATTTCCATGACAGAGACATTGTACATACAGATACGTATATACATGTGTACATCCAAATCTGCTTTTGTTGTAGAAATGTAATTTTAGATCAAACTTTTGCTTTATAGCACTGTGCGTTTTTAATATTGATGTATTGTATATGTGAGACTCTGAGGGAGGGTGTCTAACAGAAGGTGAAGAGCTATTGGTGGTTGACAAATTTAATTTGTATGCCACGTTGTCCTAGAACTGTGTTTGAAGTAGTGCTGTGATAAGGTTTCGTGGACACATAATGGATAATTCTAATTACCATCAAACATATCAAAAGAAAGGTTCTTTCCCTTAGACAATCTATTTTAATTATTTTATGTTAACGTGAGTTGTTGTGCAAAGGAGCTTTTTTTCCCTCTGAATTGTTCATGAACACTGATTATCTGAAAAATGAGGTATATTTCTTTATTTTTACAAAATTAAACTATACATCTAGATATAACAATTTTTCTTTTCTCATTTTTCCCTTGAACAATCTTTCTCTACTTATGACATGTGAAGTACAAATACAGTTTTGGAACGAGTGTTTGGATCTCACTGAATGTGACCTTCAAACTATGTAACTGTTGCCTTTAATGTAGACAAGCCACTCAGTGGAAATTATGTGTTCTGGTAATTTCTTCCATAGTTTATCACTTATCTCCAGCTAATTAAGGTACACCCACACTGAGGGAAAGAAAAGGAAAAGGCATCCATGCTGAAAGTGTTTTGCTGTTATAGGCCTTGTGTAGGTAGGAGCTGGCTTCCACACTCCATGAATGCTTCTTTTCAGTGATGCTGAATTAAATCATGCAATGAAATGAGACCTAGAAGTATTGTGTTGCTTCCCAGGGTAACAGGTGAGGTTAAATGTAGAAACTCAGTCTGTGTGCTGTCAAAATCTGTACTTATTCTGCAACACGAGGGAGATTTCATCACAATACATTTGAACAGGAAAATTTTTAAATGATGAAAAGTTTCTACACAAAGCAAATTCCAGATATGAATCACAGACAGTTTATGGGTAACATTTTTCTTTCAGCAACAGCATAAAAGTCGAAGGTCAACTACATGTAGATGTCCTTATGCACCAAAAAAAAATACTAAAAATGACAACAACACTATAGTTTGATGTAGTGAGCTTTTTATTAAAATGAATATATTAAATTATTTTAAGTTTCATGGTAGAAAAAATGTAGCTATTTTAGGAAATAGCCCAGATACCAAGTTGATCTCCTACTAGGTCACATGAACTAAGCTTGAGAAAACTAGGAAATTACAGAGAGTTGGTAAAAATTCGTTGTCATAACTTTGGATCATTGATGAAGATAATTCATTATTACTGTACCTTATTTCAGAAATTAGACAGTACCACATATTATTTTTAAAACTTCTCAGCATTTGCCTTAAATGTGTTCTGTTGCGAAAATAGAAACACCACCGTTGTAGTTTTTCTCATAAGTATTATTGTCCTAGACATTTTATTAAATTAATTTTGTACAGCATTTTATACTTATACTGTATGTCAGTTGTGCTTTATACTTGTCAAGGTTCTATATGCCTTATAATTCTCACAGGACACAGAAGGAAACTAGTTTTTATATGTTATGTTATTATACGTTTATTACAGAGAGAAATCCAGTTTGATAAGGAGACCATAAGTTCAAATAATTGTACAAGATGGCATTTTAAAAGAAGTATTTGAAGGCCGATAAGCTCAGTCAGCAGGAAGTACTGCTGGACACCAAACATGATGATGGAAGTTGGCTTCTGAAGACGACGTGGAAGAAGGAGAGAAATCACTCCTGAGGGCTGTACTCTAACTACCATGCACATACTTAAGCATGGGCATACCTGTGTAAAGAAGTTGAGGTGGCCTGCATTTGGAAACAATGAAGATAAGATATTCCAGTTTACACACACATACACACACACACACACACACACACACACACAAACACACAAATAAATATTTTCAAATTTTTTAAAGAAGTAGATAGATGAGAACCGGGAATTTTGTATCTATATGTCTACTGGCTGACTTTATGCTATCCTGGACTAATTTTAATGTCACATTTTTGTCTTATTCAAATTTTGTTCACGCTTGTTCTTAAAATAATCTATTTTGTTTTAATTTAATGAGTGCTTTAATTGTGGGATGTTTTACAGTAAACTTCAAATGTCAGTATTTTTATATAGAATACTCTATAATATTTAAAATATCATTTTTCATGTAGTTAAAATTCACTTTTAAAAGCTATGCTAAATTTTATTTTGTATTTATTAGAGCTACCTCTGTGTGTTGCATCAAAATAAGTTTTTACCAAAAGCAATAATGAAAAAAATTGGAAGCCTTAGTGTTGATGACTTTAATTTTTCAAAACCTTTGATTTTGCTTTTAAAAGATAGCATGAAAGAGAAAAATATAGGAAAATGTATCCCCTTCTAAATATTTATAAACTAAATTGTGAGAATGACTTCTATTTTGCCAGAACAAACATATAATATAAGTTTACCACAAAGATGAGTATTCTGCTAATAGATTATTGGACCTTCTGGATGTTCCAAGGCAGGGTAAATGGCTGCCAAAGACATTAACTTTTGATCTTTGATTATCATGAATATATAATTAAGAAATATGTCATTATCAAAAGAGCTAATGCTAGAAATACTATCTATGCTGCAATGTGGCATAGTGTGGTCTGCAAGGGTTCTCTTAAGTTATCTGTTGTTACTACCCATCTGTAACGTGCCATTTTTTATTTACATACAGTATACACATCCTATATGATGACCATATCCTAGTTCAGGTGCTAATGCAGGAAAAGCAAAGCAACCTCAGAGCCCTGAGTATAATTCACTAAATATAACTGTTCCCTCATCCCATAATTCAAGTAAAAATGAGCAGAGCACAGAGAATATATACTGACCTTCAACTTTAAAACACTTGTGGAAATAGGTTTGAATTTTAAACAAATTGGATCCTGCAAAAAATTTTAAGGCAAAAGGCCAACCCTAAAGGTATTGGTATAGAAAATGAAGCAAGTACCTAGGTGGTCTTCACAGTGGGTCGTGTGGTGCTAGAGTGCAGTATGAAGTAAGAGGTGAAATTACTTGTGATATGTGTCTCATTTTATACAAATGAAAGTCACGACTTTACTATTCTTTCTGGCTTCAGGTTGCTCTGTTTGTCTGTAATATCCACACAGCTGAAACGTCCATTTTTTTAACATTTCAAATTTTCATCTACATTCAACTCAAGCTAGCAATTAACCATATCACACCAACATTTTCTAGTATAAACATGTGGTCAGACTTCAGTATGTTTTATAAATCATATTTTAATAGCCATTGTTTAGTGCTTTGGCTGAATAATATCAAAGGATGGTCATTTTAGCCAATAGCTCAATAACAACACTAAGAATGGATCTGTCCAAGGCGTTACTAGAATTGTTTTCACCGAGCAACTGTAAAAAATTAAGGAACATTTTTAATAAAATGAGAAAGTGAACATATAATCCTTCATAGTGTTTTCATGTAACAAAATCAAGAGCCAGTGCTAATAAAACAGAGTCAGAGGGCTTAAGGGGTTTACTTCAAGAA